CCCCAAAACCCCAAAACCCCAAAACCCCAATTAGAAAAATGTTACCAATCTAATAAAATGTTATAAAAAGTAATATAATTCCAATATATATTAGCTTTAGAAATATTAGTAGTTAGTGTTGTCAATATTACTAAGAGACAAGTTTTCTCTGATTAAATCATTGATTCTTTTTAACGAGTTTATCTCTAGTAGAGTATTGCTTATCCAAAGAGGTTTTTGAGGATTTTCTCTCAACAGCCTCAACATACCTGTCTACATTATCATTTTCATTTACATCGGGAGAGCTATCTCCGTCCTCTGACTCCTCAGAGGAATCTCCTTCATACTCCTACTTTTAGAATTGACTGATGTCATGGTTGTGACTTAATCTAGCCTTGTTCAGGTCTAGTTTCAAGTTTAATTCAGGTGACCTGTGGACTGGAGGACTAATTGCTTAGTTATCGGTACTTGAATTTCTCTGCATCTAAGTAGCTTGCTGCAATTTGATCTTAAATGTGCCAGAATTTGGTTATTATTACTCAACCATACTCCTGTCTTCGATGCCTATGAGTTTGTTTGAAATATCATTGCCGCTTTGATTATTGTTTAAGAGAAGTGGCTGACTTGAGAACTGAGTGTTGTTAGCTTCTTACTATTCCATAGGAGTGTGAAGATTCAAGTCATGGATTAAAGCATTGACTGATTTCTCGAGGTTTATATTCTTAGCTGAATTCTCAAGCTCTGATAAATCATCCTCGTCGCATGATAAATCCTATTCAGTTACATACTCATACTCATCATCATCTATCTTTATATTTTCCTGACTCTATTCCTCTTCAGAGCTGTCTCTCTCCAATCCAAAATCTTACTCTTCAGCTCTCTTAGGCACATTTACCTCTATAGAATTATTTAAAATGCTCTTCAATCATACTGTATTGTTTTGTCCATGCCTTGAACGACATATTCTTGTACATAACAGCCAAAAATGGATTAACTGTAACAGCTTTAATTCTTTCGGTCTTTCTTTCCTTTGAAATAGTTTTTGATTTGATTTTTTGTAATCTTTCCAAGGTCTTCAATTCGATATCAATCAAAATCTTCTTCTTAGTTCTTTCGGTTCCATAAGTTCTCTTCATCGTCTTATATAGGAGCTCATTAAAGTAAATAAAACCTTCCTCGTCACTATGATAAGTTAATTTATAAAACGAATTAAATTACCTTTCTAGATTCATTTTGACGATATTTCTTAGCATTTCAGATTCACTCACATTGCCGAAGCCAAGTTTTCCTCCCAAATGTTTGAAAAATGATACTAGATCGTTAGCTCTTATCTTGATTCCAGTGAATTCTTTGGCATACTTAGCCCAAGTTAGTTTGAAGGTGTCCAAATCATTTCTGAATTACTGCAGAATATTGTCATTTGGCAGATAATAGAGTTCAAATTACTGCAAAATAATCAGAATGAAAAGATTGAGCATAACGTAGGATTAAATCATGACGAATATGATAAAGAATATAGGAGCATAACTGAGTCCACAGTTTTTGCCTGGAATACATTCTGAACTTGTATTCATTGTATCATACATAATTAGAGGCCAATCTTCTCCTGTAGATATTCGAAGCAAAATAATCATAGCTTGTGAAAAGTTCTAGAAGTTGAAGTAAATTGGATCAATCTATGTTCCTTAGGTTATACCATTAAACATAAACACTCCTAAAACTGCAAAGATAAAATATACTAGCATTAGCAAAGCAAAGACATTAAATAGAGATGGGAGTGAGAATGTAATAGTCTGAAGTAAAGCTTGAAGACCCTTGTATTTGTTAAGCAATCTGAATAGTCTACTCACTCTAAGCACTCTGAGAACTCTGGCTAATTATGGTCCTACTCTTAGGAATTTAAGGGAAGTCGCTGAAAGTTAAGCCATTACTATATCTATGTAACTTGAACAGACCACAAAGAAGTCAAATTTATGCCAACCAGGTATGAAATAAGCTGAGCCATTACCAATCAACTTGAAGACGCACTCAAGAGTGAAGACAGCAGTAAAGAAGTAGTTTGAGAACTCAAGACCTTTAGTGTACTCAACTGTCATACCCTCATAGGTCATAGCCATTTATACCATATTCAGAATAATGCAGATCATAATAAAGAAGTCAAATTTACTTTCTCCTTTTGTGAATGCGTACATAAAAATTGAAATCTTATTCTTAGGGATCTTAATAATTTCAGGTTTCGCATCAACTATCATCTTCATCATATCTACCCATTTAACCTCGTGACCCTCTAACAGAAGTGCTTCTTTTTCATCTCTTTAGGCTGCTTCGAAATTCATAAACAAGACTCCGACGAAGAGATTCATAAAGAAAAAGGCTCCGATAAACACAAATGCAACGAAGAAATAAGAATTAGTAGGAGATGCATTAGGCTTTGGTCCACTTTCAACTCCAGTAATATCTGTGTATGTATACATAAGATCAGGCCATCCCTCTAATGTAGCGACAGAGAATAAAGTCAGCATTCCTTGAATGACATTATCAAAGTTTTAATTGTAAGTTTTCCACTCTCCTCTCTATTTAAAGCAAGTCACATTATCTCCAATTATATAGGTGTCTACAGTGCAATACTATAATTTTCCAGCAAACAGATTTACACCAAGAATTGAGAACATCAAAAATATACAAACAACCACAATACCCACATTGAAGATAGCTCCCATTGAAGAAAGAAGAGCTATAACAACAGTTTTCATAGAGGAATTATGTGATATGAACCTTTAAGGCCTTAGAATACACAAAAGTCTTATGATTTTAATAATTGGTAGGTTCACACCACTAATAGTGGTATCAATAAGTGAGGTCACAACGATGAAGAAATCCATCTGTGACCATGTCTCTTTCAAATAGGAATTTTCATCTTAAATAAATCCATAGGCTATACATTTTAGCACACATTCGTAGTAACAGTTAATCGGTTTTTTGTTAATCATGATGATAATTACCATACTTTACCACATATGTGATTCTTTAGCATATCTGATAGAACCTTAAATTCCTCATATCTATTTTTATTTGGACAGCATAGTGAAGTTGGTATGCCATAATTACAACTGAATTTTTTGATCTGGGATTTGCATTACATCTTTTGGTTGGCTTAATAACTTGCCAGACTTTTGAATCAAGGTGGCATTAGCACTTTTAGTTTAAGAGTTTTCTATTTCATGAATTCCATAATTTAAGCTGATATCATAAACTCACTATTTCAGCATTATCTCATTCACAATGTCAGATATCAGACAATACCCTAGAGTGCATCATAGCTTAAACTTAGAAAGCTATTAATCTGTGTAACTTTAATTAAGTTTAGTGTCTTATGACCATTACTCCCATTAGCTTGGTCATTCTGTAAAAAATGTAAGACAAGAAAACAGGTCTTAGCAAGTAGAAGCCAGAATAGATTGGCTCAAGAAGCTTGTAGTTGGGATGATTAGAGAATTTGCCATTGCTTGCTAGGTTTTGGAAAGTCTGATTGAATGCAAAAAATGCATGTTGCATGAATGCAAATGAGCCTAACCAGAATAAAACCAGACGAGGAACGGTGTATGCTCTCCGCTGTCTGTTCAAGTATTATTCAAGAGTCTAGTGGAAAACACCATAACGACTATAAAATTGGTAAGGGGCTTGAAAATATTTAGAGATATTCTGCATAATGATAATTATCTAAGTGACTGACTGATTCATGCTTTCAGATGAAACATCATTCAAGAGATACATCAAATGCAAATTGTAGAAATAAGTGATATTTATTTTACCCTCTGATGGTTTCTCTTTCAACTCTTTCTCTGAAATCGCCTGGTTCCTTCGGGATCATCATAAGGTCATTTCTTGGAGAACGAGCGTAGGACTCAAAGACTGTATAATCGTTATTAGGGTTTTGTAATCTTACATCTAAGATAGTGTTCGTCTGAACCTGGACTTGGCATTTTTATCTTTCTATTATAAAATATTATACAATAATTCAATTAATTAACAATTTTCCTAAATTCAATCGTTTTGGGGTTTTGGGGTTTTGGGGTTTTGGGGTTTTGGGG